ATAATTGTTCTGTTTTATCATTAGTTATCATTAATTTCTCACTATGCCTAATTTACAAATTAAACTTTATCATGGGTATATATGTAAAGGAAAAAACACAGTATATATATATGTAGAGTTCAGTACTATCTAGGTTTCAGACATCCACTGGGAGTCTTGGAACATATCCCCCACAGATAATGGGAAGATGCTGTAGTATAAAAGACCTTGATACTCATCCACAGCTGGTGGGAGTGTAAAATGGTGCAGCCACTTTTTGTTTGGTTTTTTTTTTTTAGAGAAGAGGTCTTACTATGCTGCCCACCCTGGTCTCAAACTCCTGGCCTCAAATGATCCTCCCATCTCAACTTTTCGAGTAGCTGGGATTACAGTTGAGCCACTGTTCCTGGCTGGTACAGCCACGTTGAAAAGCAGCCTGGCAATTTCTTTAAAAGTTAAGCATAAAGTTATCATATCATCCAACAATTCTCCTTCTAGGTGCATACCTAAGAGAATTGAAAACATTTGCGCATGCAAAAACTTGTATGCCAATATCCATAGCAGCAATTTTCACAATAGCCAAGAAGTAGAAACAACCAAATGTCTATCAATTGATGAATGGATAAGCAAAATGTAATATAATCTACTACATCTTCCGACATAGATGAACCTAACATGCTCAGTGAAAGAGGCCAGACCCAAAAGACCATATTTTGTATGATTCTGTTTATATGAAATGCCAAGAATTGGCAAGTCAGTAGACATAGAAAGTAGATTAGTGGTTGCCAGGGGCTGGGAGGAAGAAAAATAGGGTTTCTTTTTGGGATGATGAAATTTTCTATACAACCTTTTGAATATACTAAAACCACTGAAAGAGTGAGTTTTATGGTAAGTAAATTTTATATATATACTTTTTTTAAAGTAGAAAAGGGAGGGGGACTTCATAGCCCCACAGCTTAGAGGAATCCACCACTTACAGAACAACTGAATACTTATTGATGTTTTGATGTTTTTCCTGTCTTTTTTTTTTTTTGATGGGGGAAGTGTTATATAGCAAAGACTTAGCTGAATTTTCTGTACAACTTCTGACTTTTAAAATTAACCCTATAGCATAAGCATTTTCTCACATTATTAAAAAGTCACAAGCTTCTTTTTAAACTGCCACAAAAGATTCAAGTCCTATAGATATACATAACTTAATTTACTTGTCTCTCCCTTGACCTGGGCATTTAACTTTGCTTTCCTTTTTATAATTCATTATACATAATGTTTTGGCATTCACCTTTGACTAATTTTCAGGAGATTTCTCCTGGTTTGATGGTTTGGACCTGGGAATAGTACTGTCCCCATCTCAGGGATCAAAGTGTGTGAGATGTGTTTGTGTATTACAATGACTAGATGAGGGGTTTACTAGTATCCTTGGGTGGAGCTAAAGTCCAGTAGTGTGAAGGACAGGCCTGAAAAAGAGATGTTGTTCCCCTCCAAATGTCAGTAGGACCCCCATCTAGAAATAGGGCTGAATTTTGAGAAGTAGAATTAATACTGATCCAGAGGACGTAGCCATTAAAAAATTTTTACAACATATTGCCAAATTGTTTGCCAAAGATCTTCTTATTGACCTCTCCTTACCATGAAAGGGGCATGAAAGTATCTTCTTACCAGCTACAACCAGCACTCAATGCTCACAGTTCTTCTAGAGTTTGAAAGGTCGTTGTGACAGGAAAGACTACAAGACACTAGGTAGCCTGAGTTCAAACCCCAACTCTGCTCCTACTGATCAAATGGTCCTGGGAGCTCAGTTTCCCCAACTTTTAAAGTGGGAGTGGTAATACTCAGAGGGTGTTGGCACGAGTTAAATGGGGTAACAGACGCAAAAGGCTAATGTGGCCAGGCAACTAGTGGCCAGGCACCATGACTTTTCCTGTTTTCTTATATTCCTGTCCCACATTGTATCCAAACACATCACAGTGATTATCTTATCATATGTCGGTCTGTCTCCTTCCAGTGAGGTCATTGAACACAGGACCTATGTCTTCCTCATATTTGCATTCCTAATACAGAGTTGAGTGTATTGAACAAAATTATTAATGCATATGCTCAGCACCAAGAATAAAGCAATGAGCTAATAAAAAACCCCTGTCCTTAAGGTGCTGACACTCTTGTGGGGGGAAGTAATCAGGCCAAGCATGGTGGCTCATGCCTATAATTCCAGCGCTTTGGGAGGCGGAATTGAGAAGATTGCCTGAGCCCAGGGTTTAAGACCAGCCTGGGCAACTTGGTAAGATCTTGTCTATAACAAATTAAAAAATTAGCTGAGTGTGGTGTCATGTGCCTATAGTTCCAGCTACTTGGAAGGTTAAGGCCTGCACCCAGCAGGTCGAGACTACAGTAGCTGTGATCACGCCACTGCATTCCAGCATGGGTGACAGAGTAAGACTCAGACTCAAAAAACAAACCCAAGTAATCACACAAGTGTATCATGCATCAGGTGGCAAAGAATAGTGAAAAATAGAGCAAGGTAGAGGCACAGAGGTTTTTTTTTTTGGTTTTTTTTGGTTTTTTTTTGGTAAAGGTCTGACTTCAGTAAGGGAGATAGTCTCCATCAGTGATAAAATACATATTATTTTTAAATAGCTTATTGAGGTATGGTTCACATACCACAAAACCCACTATTTTAAAGTGTACAATTCAGTGGTTTTTAGAATATTTACAAGGTTGTACAATCATCACCACTATTCAATTTCAGAGCATTTTTTGTGTTGCCTAAAGAAAACCGTGTACCCATTAGCAGCCACTTATTAATCTCTTCTCCCTCACATTCCTGGCAAACACTAATCTGCTGTTTCTGTAGATTTGCCTATTCTGGACATTTCACATCTATGGAATCATACAATATGTGGTCTTCTGTGTCTGACTTCTTTTACTTAATGTAATGTTTTTAAGGTTCATCCATGTTGTAGCATGACTCAGTAATTCATTTATGGTGAATATTATTCCGTTGTATGTATATACAGCATTTTATCCATTCACCAGTTGATAGACATTTGGATTGTTTCTGCTTTAGTGCTGTTATAAACATTTTATAATTTTTAAGTCGAATTTATAGTAGAATTGCTAGACCATATTTAATCTTTTGAGGAACTTCCAGACTATTTCTCACAGTGGCTGTACCATCTTACATTTTCACCAGCAGTGTATGAGGAGTCTAGTTTCTCCATATCCTGTCAATTATAGCCATCTCAGCAGATGTGAAGTAGTTTCTCATTGTGGTTTTGATTGGCAATTCCCTGGTAGCTAATGATGTTGAGCATCTTTTAATGTGTTTATTGCCCATTTGTATGTATATCTTTTTTTTTTTTTTTTTTTTGAGTTGGAGTCTCACTCTGTCACCCAGACTGTAGTGCAGTGGCTGCTCCCAGCCACTGCAGCCTCGATCTGCTGGGCTCCGGCGAGCCTTCCGCCTCAGCCTTCCAAGTAGCCGGAATTACAAGCATGCGCTACCACGCCCAGCTGATTTAAAAAAAAAATTTATTGTAGAGATGAGGTCTCGCTGTCCAGGCAGGTCTCGAACCCGCGGGCTCAGGCAATCCACTCACCTCAGCCTCCCAAAGGTGCGGAATTACAGGCTGAGCCACCGAGCCCGGCTCTGTAGGTATATCTTATTTGTAGAAATGTCTACTCAAATCCTTGCTCATTTTAAAATTGGATTATTCATCTTTTTACTATGGAGTTGTTCTAGATAAAGATCTCTTATCAGATAGATGATTTGCAAATATTTTGTCCCACTCTGTGCATTGCTTTCTCACTTTCTTGATGAGGTCCTTTGAATCACACAAGTTTTCAATTTTGATGAAGTCCAGTTTATTTATTTTATCTTTTGCCATTTATGCATTCAGTGTCATAACTAAGAAGGCTTTGCATTATTTTTAAGTGTACATGGAACATTAACCAAAATTAACCATATACTGTGTCACAAACCAAGTCTCAGCAAATTTCAAAGGACTGAAATTCATCATAGTGGTCAGGCGCAGTGGCTCATGCCTATATTCCCAGCACTTTGGGAGGCCTACGCAGGAAGATAACTTAAGGTCAGGACATGTAGTCTCAACTGTTTGAGAGGCTGAGGCAGGGCAATTGCTGAGCCCAGGGGATTGAGGTTACAAATGAGTTATGATTGCACCACTGTACTCCAGCCAGGGTAACAGAGCCAGACCCTGTCTCAAAAGAAGGAAGAGAGAGAGAGAGAGAGAGAGAGAGAGAGATCCATCATAGCATGTTTTCTGACTACAACAAACTTAATCTAGAAAATCTAGAAATCATTAATAAAAGACAACTAGAAAACCCCCAATCGTTTGGCAGTAAGGGAGTAGAGTTCTAAATAACCAATGCGTCAGGAAGAAACCTAGAAACTAGAAAGTATTTTGAACTAAATGATAATGAAAATATGACATATCAAACTTGTAGTATGCAGTTAAAACTGTATTTAGAGGGAAATCTATAGCCTTAAATACATGCATTAGAAAAGAAGAATGGCTGAGTCAATTATATGAGTATCAGTGTCGAACACTAAAAATAGCTAACAAATAAAGTGAGGGAATGACCGTGTGACTACCTAGAGAGTGTATGTGAGAGATAGAGACCTGGCTCTATAGGAGAATAGTACACCTTAAACAAGCTGTACTTGTTTGTTGGGTTTGTAGCTCAACTCCCCACTAACCTTTCACTAGCTGGGAGACTTTGGACAGATTTTTTCCTCCTATGTTTCAGTTCCCATATCCATAATTGGGAAGAAAGTTCCTACCCCTTGAGTTTATTGTAAGTTTTAAGTTAGTTACTACATGCTAGCATTTAGAACAGCGCTTAGTACTGAGTGGTGCTGTCCTGATTGTTATGATTATCTATGTTGCCGTGAGAGTGAGTCACATCTCTCAAGCCCCACCAAAGCCTACGTTTACCCTTCTCTGCAGGGATGAGGCAGGTTCCACACAATGATGAGGCTCTGACATTCCTGTAAACCCAGGTTCAAAACTCAAGCCATCCTGAGACTCACTGAGTGCTGCTGCCCGATGGCCATCCCCAAGAGCTCCCTGAGCCCACTTCCCTGGGAACAGAACAGCTTCCTGCAAGTGAAGGTAGAGGAGGAAGAAGAGGCCAGCCTCTCCCAGGGCCAGGAATCCAGCCGTGACCATACCACTCACCTTGAGGCTGCACGCTTGCGTTTTCGGCACTTCCACTATGAAGAGGCATCTGGCCCGCATGAGGCCCTGGCCCAGCTCCGAGAACTGTGCTGCCAGTGGCTGCAGCCCGAGGTGCACTCCAAGGAGCAGATGCTAGAGCTACTGGTGCTGGAGCAGTTCCTGGGCGCACTGCCCCCCGAGATCCAGACCTGGGCAGGGGCCCAGTACCCTAAGAGTGGAGAGGAAGCTGCTGTGCTGGTGGAGCATCTTACTCAGATGCTGGACAAGAGAGGTAAAGGGGAGCAATGGGCTGGTGTTCAGTGTTCATAGCACACCATGGGTAGAGCCTGGGCTGGAATGTGGGAATACAGTGCTCTGGTTTGGGTTGCTCACATACTCATTCTCACATTTATACCTTACCCAAACTCTCACATGCTGTGCTAGACAGATCTATTTTGGTTGCTAGTGACCAAAAACCCAATTCAAACTGCTGAAGCAAAAAAGGGTAAGAAGGTTTCAGACATGGTTGTATCCAGAAGATCTGTTGACGGCATCAGGATGCTTTCTCTCTCATTCTATTTCTCAGTTGGGTTTTTCTATGTTAGCTTCATTCTTACTTTAGATTCTCCATTGGGGACAAAGATGGCCCAGCAACCACAGGTTTGTTTTACCAACATAGATATCCTAGGGGAATGACAGTAAGAGTCCCCATCTAAGCCCTACTGAACCAGTTGGGATCAAAGGGTAGTTCCCCAAAGGAAAGCCAGGCTACTGGTACAGATGAGGGAGCTGGAAACCTGGGGCAGGGTTTGGAGGAGACAGAACTCCTGTGTACCCTCTTTGGGTTCATCCTGTGCTGGTCTCCAGGATTTGGGTGAGTAGACCTACCTCAGGCTTGCATAGGTACTGTTGCTCAGAGAGACCCACACAAACATGTCAGCCTTAGGAGGTCCAATAGGACACAGGGTGGACCCAGCCATGGGACAGTTCAGAGCAGGAAGTTAAGGCTCATCTTAGGAGGTCTTGGCCTGGCCTGACAACCTGTCAGCAACAACAGGTGGGAAAGCACCAGGGAGGAGGTTTACGGTGTTGCAGTAGGAGCATGGAGTTTGGACCCAGTCTAATCATCAAGGCTTGATAGATCCAACAACTGCTTGGCTTCCTCCTGGCAATGTGACTCTTTTGTGCCTCCATTTACTCATGGGTAAAATGGAGATTATAATAAAAATGGCCACCTTGGTGTTGTTTAAAGGTGTAAACAGACAGTACCTTTGCAGCACCTGAAATGGTGCCTGGTACAGATTAAAGATATGGTAACTATAGCTGTTAGGGTAATTCATTCAGCTCCTTAAGAAACAGGCCCCTTTGGAAGAGGTTGGTTGGGTTCCTCCCTTGGCCCCATTAGATGTGCCTGAGGGAAATGTCACAGGGACAGGAAGAGAAAAAAGGGAGGGACTCCATCCTCCTAAAGAGTTAGCAAAGGCTTTACAGAAAGGGCAAAATGATGCTGAGAAGACAAGAAAAAGCCAGCAGTTCAGACAGAAGGAATGGTAGGGGCAAAGGCACAATAGGTTGGTTTGGACTGGTACATTCTGGGGTGAACAGGTGGTATGATGTTTCTAGAGCAGAGGAAGTAGAGGTGAAGCAGGGCCTAGCTGGTGGCTGGGAAAGACTGGGAGGTTGCGGGAGCACATACATAGGCATCTGACAAGGACATACTTTCCCTCTCTCTTGCTATCTTTAAGATAAATTCCACATCAGGGTTTTCCTTCTGACACTTGAGGCAAAATTAGGAGTCTTGAAGGATAGAGTTTGATGGGTGAGAAGAAAACTCAGAACCCATGATACAGTTTTAGATGATGTGAGAGGACAGCCCTGCACCTTTTTGTTATTCAGGATGTCAATGAGAAGCTGCCCTTTGGAAATGAGGCCAAATGTCAGGATTGGGCCACATCACCCTTTACAAAGGGTGGCCAAGGCCTTCAGCAAAGTTGGAGAGGTTTGGTGTGCTAGGAGTGGTGATGCTGTGGTTTGGATTGTTTCAGGATGGGATCTAGGAACTGAGCCTCCAGAGACAAACTGCAAACAGAGTGATCCAGAAAAGTCAGAGCCATCAAACATGACCACTGACACCCTCATGGGGGCTTTCCTGAGACCTGCCTTTGCCAATGCCTGTGAACCCAAGGGTAGCCCAGATAGGGGGCTGGGACTCTCAGAGGAGATCTGGACAAAGTCTGCCACCCAAGAGATGGATTTCAGGAAAACTTCAAGGCCTTACAAGGATGCCCCCACAGAGCAGCCTGGTTGTGAATCTGGTGCCTCAGGGAACACTTCCAATGTGTGGGCAAACGTCTCCTCTCAAAAGAAGGCTCCTTCAGAGAAATTTGATCTGCTGGATGGGTATGGGAAAGAACCTTCATACACATACTCAGGAAGGAAGTCTTCCAAGTGTGACGAATGTAGGAAAACATTCCAGAGTACCTCAGCCCTTGAGGTACACCAGAAAAGCCATTTCCGGAAGACACCATATGCCTGCAGTGAATGTGGGAAAGCCTTCAGCCGGAGCACTCACCTAACCCAGCACCAGGTTGTCCACACAGGGGCGAAGCCTCATGAGTGTAAGGAATGTGGGAAGGCTTTCAGCCGAGTCACCCACCTGACTCAGCACCAGAGGATTCACACCGGAGAGAAACCATACAAATGTGGGGAATGTGGCAAAACTTTCAGCCGCAGCACCCATCTCACCCAGCACCAGCGGGTGCACACCGGGGAGCGGCCCTATGAGTGTGATGAGTGTGGGAAAGCCTTCAGCCAGAGCACACATCTAACTCAGCACCAGCGCATACACACTGGGGAGAAACCCTACAAGTGTGATGCATGCGGAAGAGCCTTCAGCGACTGCTCAGCTCTGATCCGACACCTGAGAATCCATTCTGGAGAGAAGCCATATCAGTGTAAGGTTTGTCCAAAGGCCTTTGCACAGAGCTCCTCCCTTATTGAGCACCAGAGGATCCACACAGGAGAGAAGCCCTATAAGTGCAGGGATTGTGGGAAGGCCTTCAGCCGCAGCTCAGCCCTCATGGTTCACCTGAGGATCCACATTACAGTGCTGCAGTGACTGGAAATAGCCCTCAGAGGATAGCACAGCCTCACCTTGGAGGCTCATCGTCTAAAAGAAGCCCTGAGTTCTGAAGAGTCAAGAATAGGGTGGCTGATTGGTGATCACCAAAATGATAACGTGATGGATGGAGGGCAGACTATGGGGCTGCATGGGAACAACTCTGCCTCTGAGGACCCAGAGGGAGGGTCCCACAGGCCAGCTGGAGAAGCCTGTAGAAGGATCCTGCTGCCCTCTGTTTTCTACTCAGTTGTGCCACAGAGAGTGGCTGCTGAGCTGAAGATGTGGATGGTTCTCAGGGCCAGGGCAAGGGAAGGCAAGTGTCTGTCAGAACTCCGTGGTCCCCAGATGCTCTGGGGAGGCACACCCCAGCTTCCTGTTCTCACAAGGCTGCTCTTCTCACCTGGTCCTTCTCACATGCTTAATCCAGAAGGGACATCTCCCATGCCCACCTCTGTGCCTTGGCGTCTGCCGTTTTCCCTCCACACTAATATGTGTCTAACTGCAAGGCTGACTTGTGAGGATGCCTCTTCCATGAAGCCTTCTCAGACCCTCCGCCCCTCTCATGTTTCCCTGTCTTAGTCAATGGGACTGCTTCACACTTGCCCAAAATCTGTTTCTCCCTCTCCATCTCCTTCCACATCCTACTGGTCACCAACCTTGTTGGTTTAATCTAAAGCCCATCTCTGTTTCACCTCTTTTTACATGATTATTACCTCCTGCCTTAATTCTCTCCCACTGTATCATTCTCCAAGGGGCTCTTTCTATTTCCCTTATCAGATTGTGTCACTCCATGGTAGAGAGCTTTCCAATGCAACACCTTCTACAGCAAAGCTTCTTGAATGGGTTACAAGTATGGTAAAATATAGGTAGCGTTGGGCTCTGAGCAATCTCTTCAGCTGTCCTCTTATTGTGATATTCCTGTGTGTGCGGTGATGTGAAAATGGTTTCAAAGTACAGCCCTATAGGATGAACCAAATTCTGTCACCTGCCATTCATAGTCGGCCCTGGTCTGGCATCCTCTGGACTCATCTCTTACCATGTCCTACCTTCCATACACCAGTCATGAGGAACTACCTGTGGTTCCTGAAGAAGCCACACTTTTTCCCACCTATGTGCCTTTGTGCCTGTGTCTGGAACCTTCTCCTCTTTCGCCTAAGAGTTTCAAATGTTCCTCCCAAAGGGTCCCCACACATCCTGGAGCTAACTTTGCTTCCAGAGCATCTCCTAATTACCTCACTTACATCTCCTACCATGTGGTTTTACTTATTTACTCCTCGCAGAGCTCATAGTCTGTGTTTTCCAAGGATACTGTGAGCTCCTAAGAGCAGGGGCCATGTCTATCTCTCAGAATCTACAACATCCAAGACTCAACAGGCCCTGACCAATGTCTCTTAACTGAATGTGACTGGTGGCTTCTCTGAGGCAGTCACCATGTTCTGCCCCACATCATCCTAATATGTTTACGTAGATGTCTCCCACCAGTTGTGGACCCCACAGAGCAAGAACAATCTAATTTTCCTGGGACTCAGGGCCCAGACAAGCTTGGTGTGCAGTGGTCTCAATAAAATCTTGCTGTACTGAATCTTTCCTTTCTAGAGCCCCAGGCCTGCCTGGTGTCATGGACTTTGTGGTTGCTAGCATTCTGTTGATACACTATTTGTCGTATCACAGTTCTGTATCCCTGTCCAACTTTCAGGATCTGTGTTTCAGTTTCTATTTCTGTTGTCATGCCTCTGTTTCTCTGATGATCCCATCATGTATGAACAATTTGACCTGCCATGTTGTGTACTGGTCACAATCACCATCTTTTCCTGTGTCTCTCCTTGTATTCTGGATTCATTCCCTCTGTGTCACAAGTAAACAGTCACAAAGACTGAGGAGAGAGGTTCATGACAGGAAGTGAGACCCAGGGAGACAAAAACTTGAGAAAGTATCTCTGAGAGAGTCCCAGATATAGGTAGACACTGCCACATATAGTATGGCAGAGGTTGAGAAATTGAGAGATAAGTGACAGATTGAGGAAAAAACTCGGAGAAGAGAGATGCACATTTCTAGTGAAATGATTGTTGAGGTTTCCAGCTGGCTGCAGAGAACAGAGAAGGCATGTACCTGAAGTCAGGCTACAGAGCTCTACTCCTCCCATGGGGCAGCTTTTGGAACCTGAGATAAGTAAATTCCCTGAACCTTCATGACCTCCTTATCTGCAAAGCAAGGAAAAGATTCACTTTGTATAGTAACTAACGAAGGGCCTGGCCTTGGCCACTGGCTTTGACTTGGGGCAATTGGCAACACCTCTGTCTGCCCCTGACTCACTTGGTCTCTTCACTGAGGAGCTGAATCTCCATCCCCCTGATGGTCTGAGCCTCTCTACCACCCATTTTGTTGTGAGGTATGTGTCTGTCCATGTCTGTATAAAGGAGGAGATAATCAGGGAGAAAAAAAGGAATCTTTACTGAGGACTTATGTGTGCTGGTAGGTTTGCCAAATAATTTATATGCATTGTCTCACTAAATCCTCACACAACAGTCTGAATGCAGGACAGCCATTCCTATTTTATAGAGGAGGAAAAGGATTGGGGAATGTAACTGGCCAAAGTCACACTGCCAGGAACTGTAAGTGCTTGGATTTGAGAGCACACCCAACCATGGCAGTAATTACGATAAACATAACAATGCGAACAAACCAAGTAGAAAGACAAATTATAGTGGTTTTCATTTCTTTTAAGTGCAGCCATATGTTCTTTAGAAGAGACACACCCAAAACAAGGATCTGGGAAGTTGAGGATGAAGTAGTAGAAACAGATATACAAGGAGTCATGAAGGTGAAAAAAGCCAGTGAAGTCATATTAATTTCAGACAAATTAGACATGAAAGTAGGAAAGCATTATAAGGGTCATAGGGTCACTATGTTTTTATAAAAGAAACAATTCATTAAAAGATGCAATAGTGTGAAACCAGACATGTCATATGAGCCCTGTGGAAGAGAATGACAATGAGAAATGAATGAAATCTTCAGTGCACTTGGAAATGTTAACTCATTCATGATGATGATAGCAGAAAAAACTTTGAAGAAGTAAATGAATGAAAACTCCAAAACTGGCAAAAAATATAAACTTACAGGTTCAGAAGTCACCCTCCTGGACCATTGTCTAGTGCCTGCCTCTGGTGGGGCAAAGAGGCTCAGAGCCTGGAGAAAATGGGGAAGCATAGAGAGGAACCCAGACACTTTCACAGCTTCAAGCTCTGATGTGGGAGGCCTGGAACAGCCCAGCCCTGCCACCTGGAGACTGGGAAGACATAATGAAATGCAGCCTCGCTGACCTTACCGTGTGTAGGGGCTGAGGGGGTCAAGGTAGAGCTGGGTATGTCCCGAGCCTCAAGCTACCTGCCGAAACCTGCTTGGAACAGGCAGGGATACCTGGGGAATAGGAGACAGCTTGGTGGAAGGGAGCAGAGAAAAGAGGTCTTGGAGAACATGGGCTTCAGAGGCAGTCCTGGCCCCTCCACCCCCAGCATCCACCCAGAGCCCATGGGTGTCAGGACCCGGGATCCCAGCCCACTCAGCCCTGGGAGTCCAGGGGTGCTCCGGACACACTGGTCAAACACATTTTAAACAAATCTCTATTAATTCCATTTATTAATTCCAGGAAAAAAGGGGAGAGCCCTCCAGCCCAGGAAGGAAGCATCCAGCTGCACAGGAGGGGAGGGGGCCCGTCCAGAGTCCCAGGTCTTCCCGAGGATGCCATCAGCATCTGCTCCACA